TCTCTCTCTCTCTCTCTCTCTTTGCATAAAGGGAAACACACAAAAATACTATCTATATATCTCACAATAGTTATGAATCGCGTGGTCTTAATTTAATTCTATAAGATAGATCCTCTCTGATAACAAAACAAATTGCCAAATTGCGTTCCACGCGGAGAAAATATTTTATAGAATGCTCTCTCTTTATTCTAAGAACAGATATATATATAATAATATTAGATAATATTAGATTAATTTTGTGCAAGGTGTCAAACGTATCGTTTAAAATGTACCGCTATTGCCAACTATTGCTTTTTACAGTGAGATCGTTGCGAGACCAGAGTTTCGGCTCGCCTCGCTTGGATTGATGGCTAGAATTTCCCAATCGCCGCGGTTTATATGTCGCTCGGTGCACAGCAGCGGACTGTCACATCGCGAATCGGCGAGCGTTTAAAGGGACGCGCGCGCGGCCGCGTCGTCCACTTTCGCTTTTTCTGCCCGTACGCACGCCATATTATTAATCGTTTCTGGTTCGTTTGTCCTGGAAACGAGCTCTTCCTGCGGCCTGGTGGTCCCGATGCGCGCATTGCCGAGACCCATGGGCCGGCATCGCGTCCCACTTATTTTCGCCGTCGATGTCGTCGTCGTTTGTCCTCCACCTTCTTGCCGGGCGGCGATGCTTACGCGAGGAAGAAAAGGAACGCGCGACGCTTCAGAAGCGATGACACAATTGAGAAAATGCTACCGTTATTATCTGTTCCCCTTTCCCCGGGCCCCGGCTGTACGTCCCCTTCGTTCGTCGCGCACGTCGAAGTTATGCAAACGGTCCTACTTGGAAGCCACGCTACGCTCGTTTCGTAGCACTACGTTTCGACAATTATTGGGCCTTTGGGGGAAACTCGTTTAGTATGCTCACGAGGTAGGAAAAAAAAAAGCCAAGAATTTGGAAAATTGGACTGGCCCCGTACACTTATAAATTCGAATGAATTCAAAGATAACTGCCTCGACCAACGGATGCCGACCAGCTGTGATGCTAACTCGCTGAGGGAAAGTTGATAATTATTCGAAATAAACTCGTCTCTTTATTTCTCCCTTGATCCAGCCTCTTTTGCCTTTCATAGTGAGCGTTCAGCTACGAGATGTTTGTAGTTCCACATTTAAGAGTTTAATTAAGAGCTAATTATTCAACAGGAAAAGAGGGAGCAGGAGGGAGCCCTAGGCGCACGCGAGAGAAGCCCCCCCATTTTCGTTCCTGATTGCTGGGCCGCCTCGAGACGCCGCTTCCGGCGCTTCGCACTTGTCCGCCACAATTGTTTCCGCCCTAGTTCACGGTTACGTCAGCACGACATTGTTTCGTTTCGTTATTTTCGTTTTCAGGCCCATCGTAGCATGTCAGCTCACTCCCTCCTCCGCGCGACCTCCGCGATCCTCCCCCGTCGTCAACGTGTTTTTCTCGCTTCAGCTCGTTCCTCGAGCGCTTCACGCTTCGAGCGAGCGACTTTTTCAACGCCGATGCGACGCAGAGGATCAGTTTGTTGCGTTTTAACTGAATCACGCGCACGTACATTCGTTGCTTTGGCCGGACCACCTCGGATCAGGTTGACACGCATGCCTGGCCGAACGTTTAACCTCGGCCACGGAGCGTTTCGTGAAAGCGATCGCTCGTTGCCGGCTTGTGGGCTTTTGCGAAACCGCGGGAAAGAGCGTCGCCCTGGCAGCGCAGTTCTCCATCGCGGCGGCCGAGAAAGAGCGTAAATAAACCGGTGAGGAAAACTCGGCTATTAGAGCGATAGATCAGGAACGAGGTTCTTTCCTCTCGATCGCGGATTCGCTTTTTCGACGGTGAGACTGATTTTCTTTATGTCCATTGCCTCTCGGTAGAGCGATTCTCTGGAACGCGGGTCTCTCTTTGTGTGATATCTCGAGCATACGGCGCAAAGTACGAGATACAAGTTCAGATTCGATCTTATGTCATCATTTATGTTTCATTCAATTTGCATGTATCAGCGTTTTTCAACCTTTCTCAATTAACGGCACATTAAACGACGAGCTAAATTTATCGAGGTAAAAATAATGACGTATAAATTAGGTGGACACGCTTCAGTACTCATTGTCAACATCTTTTATTAGATACCGTATATAACACAATATAATTTAGGTAATTCGCAAAATTTTCATCATTTTTATTTCGCCGCCTTAATCATTTTTTTATTTCTAAATTTTTTTGCTTTTTTAATCTTCTCTAAAATTTTTACGGTATACTTTGGAGATTTTCTGTGATATATCAGTGAGCCGTGATATATCGGTTGAAAAACTCTGACACAATACTTTTTAATTAAAACAATTTTTAATTATAGTATAATTATACAACGTAAGTATTTATATAAAAAGTAACTTTTAGACACAAAGTAGATTTTAAAAGCATTTCACTGTCGAGATGTGATCCGTAGTGATGTGAATTTAAATTTAAATAGAGCACAAAATTCGCGTTGTATATAATCGCATGTTGATTGGTTTTCAACTTACTCTTGCACTCTGCGTAATTGTGCGAAAGAGAAACAAAGAAAAAGACAGAGAGAAAGAGAAAAATTAAACAGTAAGACTCACCTTGCAACCCTCGCAGGTGAATGCACCGAAGTGGAAGCCAGCCGCTGGTTCGCCACACACCTTGCACTGTTGGTTCATCTGCAATAGAATTACAATTGATTTCTGAGTGCACAGTTGACAAACTGGCTGTGTACAAATAAATTATTTTGCATTGGAACGTGAACACACTACTTCGACAATTAAATCAGATAAACATTTTTGATGTTAAAGACATCCGGACAGAAATCTCGTTGTTCAGTGTAATTTAAATGTTTATAATACCATTCTGTAGAATAATTTAAAGACTTACCGCAGCAATGGATTAACCTTACATTTCATAAAAATGGAGAAAATAAAAGTTAAAGTGAGATTGGAAACAGTGGATATCAGCAGAATTGAAAAGCAATAGGAGAACAGGGAATAACAGATTTCAATATATCAGAAACCGTGTAGTAATACTGTTATTCCTTTCCCGTTCCTTTTGCCTATGCTTTCCAACGTGTAGACTTAACACACATTTTTATTTTACAAAATGTAGGTTAACCCACTGCCACACTAAGCCCTTCAATTTATTTTTTCTCTTAGCATTGACTCACAGGTGGGAAAATCCAATTGATATTTACATAAGTTGTAATCACGATCTTCCTAACAAGTTATGTATTGTTCTATTTTTTAGACTTTTCAAATATAGAAGTTTTCTTAAAAGACGCTGAACATTTTCATTGATAATATAGAAAAAAAAAAAAAATATATATATATATATATACATACATAATCAAAATTATCAATTGTAAACAAGATAATTGTATACAACGATATCGAAATTAATTCCATTCACTAGATATATTGTCTTTGTGATATTAAAAAACAGTATTAAGATGGCAAAAAGGCAAAACTTGCGGCGAACATTTTTTCAAGCGTCTTCGCCCTACGTTTAAAATAATTTAGTTTTTTTTTCACTTAGTCCTTGAGATGTTGCATTATCATTCTCGTATTAATATTTTCCGAACGATTCTACGATTTGTGAGAAAACGTTGTTAGGAAATATTAGAAACTAACGGACTATTAGGTATACTACTACACTGAAGCTCTATTTGCGACACTACTATACCAATCATGCGATGCTTCTTCTAATGAGTCGTGTCCTACACGACGGAAACGAAAAGTAGATCGGACGCGCGCGGTATCTTTGACAAGTCGACGATGCAATCTTTATCGTTCGCCTACACCGATCGAGCGCACGATTGAGTAAGAGAAGAAGCGCGTTGCATAATGCGCCGCTTTGCAGCGCAGCGCGAGCGCGAATCGCTGGATCGTGGCAAAGCGGTGCGTGTTACGTTCAACGAGCGGAAAACTCTTGCGCGCTTGCTTCTTTTTTTCTTCTTTTTCTCGCCTGCCTCTATCTCTCCTTCTCTCTCGTGCCCGTTCCTATTCCGCGAGCTCCTCGCCAGCTCCTTTCGCCTTCTTTGGTCGATCGTCCAGAAAACGGACCGTGGCTCCGCGGTCTCGTTTTCACACCTCGTCGCTCTTATTTCACGCCGTGATCCCCTTGCACAACGTTGCATTTGCGTAGGCCAGCGGAACGATACCGCGATCGGAAACAGACGGGATGGCCTCCTATCATAACATTTCCCTTACGTGTCTCCTCTTTTCTATTACGTACCCCTTCCCGTTCCACATGTTTGCAACATGTTTCCTACATTCTTCGGGCATTTTTCTGTCAAAATGTTTAATGATCATGGAAATATAGGACAATAGCGATGACCCAGATGTTTACCGCGGTCTCAGGGCACAACCTCTAACGACTTTCATACGTGACGGACTGTCGCTAAATGGGAAAGTAAATTTCAACTAATGGAAAAGACATTTACGTTGTTTGATCAACGGAGTCTCTCCTGACCTACACCCAACAACAGTCGTTGACACTTATCATTTACGGATGCCATCGTTCCTGATGCGGCATACCTACGCGGTTCACGCTTGCAATTCTGTGTTTGTTTTTTTATTTTTGTAGTTTTATATATTTTTTTTATCTCACTTCGATGCATTCGTAACTTCCCATCGCGCCACGCAACAATCACCGTCGCGGGAATATTTCACGGTGGTCGATCTGTTTGATGTGAAATCCGTTTTCTCGCCTGATAATTTATTCTTTATTATTTCGAGTCACTTTCAGAGCGTAGATATCTCTTCTTACGTGATCGTTCTGTCATCACAGTTTACGATATTTTTCTAACGTCGTCGAAAAATCGGCGGTATCGCGGCTTGCTCGATGGCGCTCGACGACCGACAAAACCGAGCGACGTCGCCGAGCGTCTCTCAACCGTAGTCGAATTATTCGGTATAATTTCATTAGCGACAACCTCAAGGGTTCTTATTTTGTAAGTCTAATTGCTTGAATTTTTTTTACAGATAAAGGCTGCATGATATTCCTTTGATGACGTTATGATCCAACGGCACCTGATCAATGGCAACCTGCGTTGATTAGAGGTGTGCATCCGGTAACAGGTAAGTCTCACTTGATGATTTCTATGCATGGCAATGCGTTCCATGCCGATGCAATTGCGATGTTTAAATGATATTGTTGTCGTGCCGAGATGTCGCAACAGAACACACAACACAATGTCGTTAGATAAAATCAAATTGGGTTAACGGATTAGATTCCGCGTAATAATGAAAGAAATCATGAAACATACATAATTATATATGTATATATATA